AGAGACCGAATATTACAATGTGAAATTGAAAAGGTAGACTTAGGTGTGTTACCTATCAGATTAAAGAACTGGGAAGAAGAATAAGATTTACAATTACTATAACAAGTGTTATTTACATTATCATCCAACATTAAAATGTGTAAAAATATCTATGAATATATGTCTACAAAAGGATATGGAATACTACAATATCTTTGCAAGATCATGCTCATCCTTTATGTTAAGAGATTGTGAATTCTCAGCCTTGCGTACAAATATCTGTCCATTTCTAGTCCAGAGGAATTCATAAATTACCTGTTTACGCTTCGCGTTGGCCAGTTTCAGAAGCTTTCGTGCATTAGGTGTTAGGTTCTCATTTATGTAGATTAGATTCCGGCCTGGAAATCCTAGGCTTCTAACAGTAATATTTGCGAGCTTCTTTTTATTGCGGTTGTCAAGAGGTTATATTAACATTTCTCCAACAGGCGTACACAGGCAAGCCAAATTGGGTAACATCGACCTCTTGTTTGGGTTCTTTAACAATATCGCCAATTAATTGTACAGGATTGGGGTCAAGCATTAATAGCATGTGACTAGTCTCAAGTGAAAAGGACGCAAGTAGTAGGTTTCAAGCAATATCTAATAAAGCAAGTTAATCAACCAAAAAATATACAAACCAACCCCAGGCGCCAGCATAAATACCGAATAAATTAATCTATAAGCTCTGCACACCAGTGAGCAGGTACAGCGAATATTACAACATTCGCTGATATGAACGTATACAACTCATCACCAAAATATTACAGAAATAACAATGAAATTACTGACTAGAGTCCGATAAGCTTAGCGGCCGAACGACGTCTCTAAGGAAGCGAACGAAGCGTGTGGAGCACAGATTGGCAAAGGCTTACCGGGCTACACGTGGCATGTCCTTAGAAATTTCCTTCTGATCCGGCTCGACAGAAACACGCGATGTTGGTTGTCGCCGTATTTGTCCCAGTCGTCCAACTTGGTTTCCAACTTGCACCATGTCGTAGCAATGTCTTAAGACGAAGACTATAACACTTGCAATCTTCGCACCATTTCTTTAATCTGGACTCTGGTGACACGACTGATGATAAATGTGCTCGCCGTTGTATTCGCACTGCGATATATATAACCAGTTGACAATTTACATATTAGGGCGTCGCAATGTTCCAGGTGCATTCGCGACGGTCTTGCTGTGTTACACTGCTCTAATATCGTCTGTATGTAATATACCGGCATCCCGAATATTTCCTGGGTCTTCTTAAGTTTGTTCATTATAATATCACAAGTGTAAATAAACAATGTGTTTACAGTTGTACTATTGTACTAATAACTTAATAAAATATAAATATATATATATGTATTGATACATCTCATTGAAATTGGCATGACATTCACCATTACTAGTACAATATAAATATCACTTCGTGACAGCGGTATATACTTTCTCGTTTCTTCCTCCCTGAAAATTTTACAATTATGGGTCTTGGAAAAGCCTGATAGTTTTCAGTTGGTTTCTTTCCTAAACGATGAGTTATTTCAACATCCATTCCAGTAAGTTCAGGGTCAATCTTTCGCAACACTTTAAGAGTAATTACATCTGTGTTTTCTGGTAGTGATGTATCAGCACTCTCAGGGATACCATGAATCTCGATATTCTCACGACTACTATATTGGTTCTGTTCCTCTACTGATCTTCCCAATTCAACAACTCTTCTCTGAAGATCTTCATTGACACATCTGATTTCTTTATTTTCATGCTCCAATGTAGTACAGGATAGTTTAGGATGCGTCGTTGTCGGGCGTCTGTCATTCAAGCCGAGACAGAACAAACATTTGCCGTAATTCATGAGAATCATGTTCAGTAATTTGAGGCATGAAAACCCCAATAATTCAAGCAAAAACTATTTATTACATATATTTGTTATTTTTCATCGCCAAACTATTGTCCCGGTGAAATGGTAAAAACTGGTAATTTATTAATAATCATTTTCATCAATCGCTAGCTTTATTTTATTCGAACTCGTTTTTTTCGTTGGCAACGACGGTGGTAAAATGGTTGAAAATATGAGTGTACCTCTCTCGCAAAATCATGTAGATGATGCGGACATATATGGTTCTGTGACCCAGGTCGTGATTCGATCAGATGAATTTCAGCCAATCAATTATGTTGTAACAAAACGTATTTGACGCACATTGAATGGTTGTCGCACCACCCAATTACCGGTATACATTCGTGTACTTTTGTCCTTGTGCTTCGTTAGGCTTCATGATTATTCACTCGAGTAACATCGGTATATTTTGACAAGATATGATTTGACCTTAGTTTAAAAGGAAAAAAAAACTAGGCTGAGAATTAGTTTTCCTTGCAAAATTTTAAATTCTCTTTTTGTACGTTATTTCCACATCCCTCAGTCGTTGAGATGCCGACCTGGTGTATAAAACATGATGACGATTACTACTGATAAACCTACAAGTATTTATAGTAGCAGCATTATCATACCATAATATTAATATCAACCTGCGAACAACGGTTTTGGCATTCTATACGTGTAAAGGTAAGGCCGCAACTTTCGGTTTTTACTCTTGAAATGCAATAGAAAGAATTTAGCTAATGTGTTCAACCTATTCTAACTAGCATGATATACAGAAATGTCCATGAAATGAACATTATCCCAATTTGATTACCTGTTCTAATATCGGGTATGAAGATACGTGATGAAATGATACTACTGTGAAAATTAAAGTCACATCAATGTTCGATCATTAATGGTTCACATCTCTTTGAATCCCATTTTTATGAAAGTTAGTGAATATATTCAGCGTAATCAACAATGAGTATTGATATTTGCATTGTAATTTTACAGAGAAATGGCTTCAATTCGACTTGTAATTTTGCTGGTTTTGGTCACACTGATACAATTAAATATGGTGGTCAGCGAAATTTCTAAAGAAAGTGGTAAAGGCAATGGAAATGGTGATAACGCGATCAAAAAACAGGATGAATACAAAACCGAGAATGCAATAGAAAAACGATTTGATGTCCCGGGATTAAAATAATAAGAATTAAGTAAAAATAGATGACATTTTCATCCATCACAGATTGTCTCCCCGATGGACTGCAATTTAATTAGTTGACTTACACAATCTATTACTGTCACAGTGTGGTAGATCATATGATAAAATCAATAAAAATATTTAAAAAGAATACTGAAGTTTGTTGTTGTATTCAATTGTGTTATAGTTAAAATAACCACCCAAACATTTTCTTTAAAACAGATGTAAAAAGCATAGTAAATGTTGTGTTAATTTGTTAGAGTGAAAAGACATTTTTGGTGCTTTGTATGGAATTTATTTTCACTGATTTTTGACAAGTTGAATGTAAAACATAGGAAAAAAATATATTCGCTGGATTTTATTTTCACTGAATCATTCCTTCAGCGAAAATAGCGAAAATTAATTCTAAGTGAAAATAAAGTATTCTACAGTATGTTCGTTTTCACCGTCTCACTGAAGTCGGTGAACATGATCACTGTATATCAACAACGACGTTTAATAATACCTCAGATGTCACAGAGAAATGACATCATCTCGCAGATTGAAATTACTGAAATTATTATGGTATGGTAATCGTCGTCATGTTTTATTTATCAGGTCGACATCTCAACAACAGAGGAATGTAGAAATTTGTAATTTGGCCAGCTTTAATAACACTAATAACACTGTCAGTGATACAAGTACATATGGTATACGTAGTTGGCGAACTTTCTAAAGAAAGTGGTAAAAGCAATGAAGATGGTTATAGTGTGACCAGGAAACCTGATAAAGATAACCCCGATGTTGTTTTGGAAAAACGACCCAGTATGTGGGAAATGAAATAGGGAGGATGAGGTAAAAATAGATATAATGAACAGTCATCATGAATTATCACACTGCTTGTCTGCATAATCATGGACTGCAATTTGAGTTAGTTCACACATGATATGAATGTGGTACTCCATATCATAATGTCGATAAATATAATTTAAAAGAATTCCGACGTTTTTTCATGTATTAAATTGTATTCTAGCTTAAAGAACCCCCTAACTTATTTTGTCAAAGAGAACGCAGAAAACATAGTAATTATCATGTTATTTTTGTATTACTACTATTGAATTATGGTTTTAGCAGTACCATCAATTTTGTTTTGACACGTCGGAACAGAACACGATGAATACAAAACCGAGAATGTAATGCAAAAACGATTTTAAAATAGATGACATGTTTATCCATCATTGGTTGCCTCCTCGGTGGACTACAACTGAATTAGTTGTCTTACACAATATATTACTGTAACTGTGTGGTAGATCATATGATAAAATCAATAAAAATATTCAAAAGTATACTGAAGTTGGTTGTTGTTTTCAATTGCGTTGTAGTTAAAATAACTCTTCAACCACTTTTTTTTTCAAAGCAGATGCAAAAAGCATAGTAAATGTTGTGATGATAGCTTTTACACAGAACACATTTATTAATAGCACACCCGGGAAACCATGTAGAATATGTAAAAAACAGGGATGACATCATATGACGAATATTCATTACCATATTAATTGTACCATACCGTGTCTTTTTTCAAGGTCAGAGACTTTTGTCTTGTCATTCAATTTTGATACAATTCAAGGTTTTCAGCAATAACCTTACTATGTAAACAATTAAATCATATTTTTACAAAGTAAAAAACAATTTAAATCGGCCTCATCTTTAATCTACATAAATCCACTTTAAAAATGATACCGTTGACTATCTCTCACGATCTCACTGATTGTTCAGTATCACGAGCGTTTCTAGTGGTCGTCTTGCTAGGGCATTTAAGCAGTACATCTGTCAGTCAGTTGTTCTCCGGCTTCCACAAACTGCTGTTACTATGAATGCAGTTCTAACAACCATCGTTTTAAGCACCATCATTTTCATATTCCTCTCCTGGTTTATACGACATTATGGACCGGGGTCAAATTATCGATGTGGCAAAATACTACCACCTCGTCCACCTGTCCTGCCCATCATCGGAAACCTACACATGATATGGAGTCGAAACGGTTGGCAGGATTTGAAGAACATTGCCAACAGATACGGCAACGTGTATAGACTACAGCTAGGCACAAAAGAAGTGGTTGTGTTGAATGGTTATGATGCAATTAAGCAAGCTCTGCTGAGACAGAACGAGAGTTTCAATGAAAGACCCGTCAACATTCAGGCAGAGTTTCTGGGCAACCAGGGGAGAGGTAAGAAACATCTCACTGTCATTGAACATTGTTCGTAATTCCATCCTTTGACAAGCTAATATTTAAAATTCGCTTATTTACATGAATAACTTTTCAGGACGAATGTCATTTTGAGTTGACAAAAAATAACTCTCCTATTTGTAATTTTAGAGAAGGGAGAGCAACAACTGGAACCTAACCACGAAACAAATTTTGCAACAAATTTCCCAATTTTGTGAAATGTCCTAAAGAATTATTTAAGCTTCTCAAATAGTGTTCCATATTTACCCCAAGTGTTTAACCCTAACGTTCTGAACTAGTTTCTGTGGTTTTTCGAAAGATATTTTCATAGTTACAAATGATGTTAGCAGATATTGGCCTAAACGACAATGTAGACGTTGTGTTGCATATAACTATCATATAGTCTATAAAAGAATCTAATTATCTTTTTATAGGAGTAGGCCACGCTGGAGGTATACACTGGCGGGAACATAGAAAGTTTACTAACGTCTTAATCCATGAGTTTGGTTGGGGAAAACCAGAGGACTTTCACAAGTTAATTCAAACAGAGGTAAAATGTGTGATGAAGGAATTGATTGATACGAAAAAGGGTGAATCCTGTGATCCAAGCATTCTCTACCATCATGCTGTCTACAACATCCAGTGTCAATTTATTTTTGGTAAAAGATTCGACTATAATGACAAAAAGGCTATACAATTTTTTGACGCATTAAGAGGATTTGCCTTGGATACCAACCCAGCTGTCGTGATGACCATTTTCCCCTTATTAGCAAAAATCCCACTTGGAAGCACTAAACGATTACTAAGCCATGTATTCGTAGCACGCACTTTTATCAGAGGTCAAATTGAGAACAAACTCGCGCTGCGGAAGAAACTTGGAAACACTTACAAACCAGCCAGGAAAAACTATATCGACTGCTACTTGGATGAGATTGAAGCGAGACGTGATCAGCCCGAGTTGGAGTTCAGCAATGACTCTTTAATATTATCCATACTCGACATCTTTTTCGGCAACCAGGCACTAGGCGATGTGCTCGCATGGACAACATTAATGATGGTGTCTCACCCAGAAGTGCAGAAGAAGGTACAAACAGAACTTGATCGTGTAATTGGTCCTGATAGACATTTAGATGTAAATGACAAATATAACCTCCATTACCTAAATGCAGTTCTATTTGAGTCTATTCGCATTCGCCCCATCTCACCATTCGGTATCCCTCGTATAACCAATGAAGACACATCAATCTGCGGTTTCTTTATTCCAAAGAAAACTTATGTAGTGCCAAACTTGTGGTCCGTGCAAGGTGACGGAAAATACTGGCCCAATCCAATGAAGTTCGACCCTGAGAGAAATCTGGATAATAATGGAGTTTTCACTCCACAAAGCCGTGTTCACTTGTTATTTGGAATAGGTAAGTACACATTTGTTTTTATGAAACTGAAAGGAATGCCCTTAGATGATAAACATTTTGCGTTTATTTGAAATATAGTAGCTATGCATACATACGGAAATCTTGTGCAAGTGAGACCTAATCTTTATCAATTCGAAACTCAAAAAAGTGACTCACCTTTGATAGAATTTAAAAAAGAATGTAACATAGCGAATATTAATGTAAACTATTCAGTTTTATTATTAACAATAGCCCGGAAATTGTCAGGACGTGTGTTGCCAGGACGTGTGTTGTCAGAACGTGTGTTAGTTAGTATATTAGGCATAATCTCTGCAGGCGATAAGGAACACAGACAGAGGTGATGTCATGCGTTTCGAAATAAGTGACAACAACCTGTTTCTCATATATAAGTCTGAGGATTAATTAATTAATTAATTCATTTATTTATTTATATATTTGTTTAGTCATTTAATTCTTTATTTATTTATTTATTTATTTATTTAATTTATTTACTTAATTATTTATTTATTTACTTAATTATTTGTTTATTTATTTCAGGTCCACGTACCTGTTTTGGTCAAAAGTTAGCCAATATGGAAATGCTTATTTTCTTTGAAAACTTACTGCAGCGTTACAATATCCATCTCATCAAGGACGCTGACATCAAGCATGCCATTGGTATGACGAAAATCATGCCTTTCTTCATCCGATTTGAGAAGCGAAAATAATAAGTGCCGTGAACATATGTAATCTCAAAACAGTCGCATGCTTATTTGTATATTCATGAAGTGACAATAGGCGTACAGATTTACTTCATAGCATGTAAATGGTTTTAATTGAGTCAGGCAATACATTTCATTGTTTTGTTTTAGACTATTTTAGACTATTTTATTGCAAGTGTTAAGAGGGTTTTAGGGTGAACTAAACGTTAAATACTTATCATTATCAATTTGGTATAAATAGTTATTTACATTAAGTACAACCTAGTTAACATTACGATCAAAATAAAATAGACAAGTTTGTAATTTTTAGTGTGAAAATTCATCAATGTGTTTAGAACAGAGGAGCAGCATGGAAATACAAGTCAGATAAAGAGATGGGGCACACTATGTTTTCAAGGAGAGATAGACTGGTTGTATTGAAGACGCAAATGCCCAGCACGTGGAGTAATAACTTATATATATATATATTGTACCCAATGGACAATAAACATAAACGTTGGCATAAATGTTCATTACAACTTATTACAACTTTGAAAGTCAGTAACTTTGTAACTCAATCCACATCTTCTATGATTCATTATATGTTGATAAACACAACATCTACGATGTATTTTGTTATGGATTGTCACCATCACAGATATCCATCAACTCGAAACACTCGCTAATTTCATTTATCCTGACTTCTCATAAAAATTAGTGTCATATATACAACATATCGGTTACAAGAAACTCTGGTAACTATGCAATGTAGTATTTTACTTTCAACGTCACAAGCGATATTACTCTTGCAACGTAAATCGAAGATCATGTGTTAACAGGGATTAATCCTGTTAAATAAATGTTTCTGCTGCAGTGTCTGCATCATCACCTGTCTGTGATGGCTTACCTCCCCAAAACTATTCTAAATACAATCGTGGAATGCCCCAATGCCTGCACATTTCATTCTGGAGTTATGCATCAGAACTTCATAATATAATAACATCATAACATAACATAACATTCATTATTATTTTTGTTTATTCAACTTAATCTACACATGTACGGTATACATAGGCTTAATTTGTTCATAAAAAATTGTTAGTAAGTTGATGAACGAGTTATATTTTAACATTTTAAAATACTTGCAACTACAAGTCCTTACTTGTATGTCTCCGAACAAATCAAATTATTGTATATACATATTACTACCTTCGCAAAAAATATAATGAAGTATGTTATTAACTTATACACACAATTGTATTATTTCCTCTGTTCAATTTACTCAGTGCCCCATTGTTTGGTTTCATGAATAATTACCAACCCACTGTGTATCATTGGCAACTAATTATTCAGAGAAGACAGCTAGAAATAGCATTTACCATAATGATCTGAAAGCACTCTCCAATTTATCCGTGGAGGGCGTACACCACACCACACCACACCACACCACACCACACTACACTACACTAACATATCGCCCTTTTCACTAACATCGCAAATGATTGCATTTCATATTATATGTCTTAAAACATTCTCGTTTTTTCCAAGTCATAGGATCTTCAGTTTGGTAGATCGATTCTGTATAATTTCCTAATTTCATTTACACGTATGTATGTTTATTTAAATGGTCTTGCAAAACGTAATAGCAGTGAAACCGTACGGCGTTCGTGAATTACGAACTGACTGGCAATTTACGAGAACTTGTCACTAATATTGTCGACGCTTAGACGTTGTATGGTATGAGCAGTTCTATGAGTGGAGATAACAAAGTTTCTATCCAAGAAAATTGATTTTATTTTTTTCAATGAGCGCTTATCCTTAATGAACTCTCTTTTTAATATGAACTCTAAGAGTTATAAATATGTATACTCTCCTATAATATAGGCGCGCATACACACTGATCGAATGACAGACCAAAGACAGAATCTGTTTATTATGAGAAAATACATAGTGTTGCATTATTCCTGAAATAGAGATGAAACTGTCGATCAATATTCAACGAACTTCAATAAAAAAAACATTGTTCACGTGCTTGCTTTTTACTCAACCAAGAAGGGATGTTTTGCAACCAAGAAGGGATGTTTTACATAATGTATATGCACCCTACAGATTGGTTAGGAGATTTCTCAGAATAGAGTGTCAAAACTTCAGATCTTATTCTAAGAAGATTGCCCTGTTTTTGACCCCTGTGTGCATATTAATTGGCCAATACTTGTTATCATTTAACAAATTTCAATGAAACTTTGTACATGCTCTGGAATAATTCACACATACTTTTTGCTTGAATCATTGACTATTAATTATCTAATTTGCATATTCATTGATCAATACCAAGTACCATTGAACACATATTTCATGAAACTTGGTACATAGGGGAGTAGTTTTTGGGTTACAATCTTTAAAGGCGAGCAGAGGTCTTGCTTTCATCACATTAATTTTTGGCGATAAAAACAACTTGTATGTGCTGCGAAATACCCTAAATATTTGGTATAAAACGGGCTGTGAAGTAGACGACAAAGGTCATTTTTTTTTGCTGGCATAATTTTGCCTTTTGGGAACGCTGGATGATGACGTCACTAATGAAGATGATATCTCAATCATATCGCTATTGTATACACGTACCTATACTATTCTGGTTTCTACATACGTTGAATATTCTTCAAAAATTCGAATATATTTGGAATGTCGATCGTCGTTGGTTTCTCAATGCTGAGTTTAGGATGCCTCGTTGTCAATGTCTGTCATTCAAGCCGAGACAGAACAAACACTCGCCGTGATTCATGAGAATTATGTTCTGTGATTTGAGGCCTGAAAACCCCAATAATTCAAGCAAAAACTATTTTTCATCACCAAACTATTGTTCCAGTGAAATGGTAAAAACTGGTGATATATTCATAATCATTCTCACCAATCGCTAGCTTTATTTTATTCGAACTCGTTTTTTCGAAATTTGTTGGCGACTTAGTTGCTAAAATTGTTGGAAATATGGGTGTAGCTCTCTCGCAAAATCATGTATATGATTGAAAAGTTGTCGCACCACCCAATTACCGGTGTACATTCGTGTACTTTTGTTCTTGTGCTTCGTTGGGCTTCATGTTATTCATTCGAGCAACATCGATATAATGTGACAA